TTGTTTGTTTGTTTGTTCATACGGAAGTCAAGCAGAGGTTAGTTTACTGTTTACCGAGACTCTCTTTAAGGAGAGAGGGGCGCAGCAGCAGCATCTTAATGCTTTTATGGCTGCGCCAGTTTCCCGGGTCGGTGTGAAAGTGTTAGGTTAGTGCGTGGTGTGTTTGATTGGAGGCAATAAATCAGACACAGTTCTCGGCGTGGGTGGAGCGGGAGGGGAGAGAGAGAGAGAGAGAAAAAGAGAGAGAGGGGGGTGTAGGGGAGGAGGGGGAAGGGGAGGGCGTCCAAGCTATACGTGGTCCCGGGGATGAGACACGTGTCCATCCGGACTCGGGGCGCTGCTTAGCGGACACCAAGCAGGCAGACACCTCGCTGGACTCCCAGATTTATACTCTCACTTTGCGCTGTTACGGTCCCAGCCACGTTGTCTCTCTGCCCCTCTCTCTCTCTCTCACACACACACATTTCCTCCTTCTCCAGTATGATGTTTGATTTTTTTTTTTTTTTTTTATCCTTCTTAAACTTCACCTTACTCTTCCTATTATGCTGCTGTGTATCTAAATGTCAGCATCCACTTATCTTTACGCACCCTTCACTGTCTGGACCCCCTTCAGCTTGCAGGTCGATCTGATGTGTGTGTGTGTGCGCGCACGCATGAGTGTGTGTGTGTGTGTGTTAAGTGTGAGCGTGCTATTGACTGCTATGTAGTGATTACCATTCCGGTCGGATGGCACCAGCAAGCCGCTGTAATTAATAACCCCATAATCCGGGTTGGGGTGGATGTCGGCGAAGAACACACACAGATCCAGGACAGAGTTTTACAGAAACAAGGCGTATCCTTATGGGTAGCTCCATATAAGAAATTATAGCTGCTATTATCCCTCCCAGACAATGATAACTATCTGCTTCAAAAGAAGATTAAAGGTTTAAACAAGTTCAGAGTTCTTGGAAACCCGGATCGCATTATTATCAAAACTGAACTGAGATTGATGGGGATTTTCATCTCGCTGTCAATAACGCGTCAAGACTTAAAACCAAACTCAAATAAATAATCATTCAACTTCTAGGGGGTTGTTTTGCAAACGATTAACAAAACAGATGCTGGTACAAAGTCGGGTTGAAAATGCGATTATGGTTGTCCCCCTACACACTTTTATATATTGATTCGTGGAATTTCAATTCAGACTCCCTTGTTTTTTGTTTTTAATCCGCATTATTTACAAGAAACATCAGGTTGTAGTAAAGGGGGGAAAAAATTATCAAATGGATTTCTTGAAGGTGCAGCCTGTGCAAGATGATCGTTTTGTTGTGGATTAAGGGTGTTTATTTAAAATTTTCTACTTAATTTGTTTACCACAATAACGCATTTATTCATATCTTATAATTAAAAAGTGTGTTATTTTTATTATTAATATTACAGAATATTGATTTATTTTCCTCATGTTAGTTTTTCCTACTTTATTTCCTTCTTGCTTGTTGAAATCTGAGCGTCGTTTCCCAGAATAAACATCTCTCCAGCCCAATCCACTAAAAATGTTTATTGCTTATCACTGTTGTTACTTTACACTTAGTCGTTCATTACCAGCGTAATGTGCCCATCAGCAGCTCTCTCTTTGATGTCAAGTGGCTACATGCGACCCGTTTGATGTCTCAAATTAAAAGAATGACTTCACTCCGATTTTTTTCCTTAACACCTCAGGACCAGTGTCAGAAAACACAGCTTGCACCCCAGCGATGAAGTGATAAATAAAGCAAGAAAAAAAAAAAGCTGTGCGTAAAAAACTAACCTGTGAGTCATTCAGTGGTTCCAAACACACTCATTATTATAGGTTGTCTTCTTTTCCCCTGCTTTTGATTTATATTTTTTTATTTTTAGTTTTTTAAAAATGTAGATAGAAGTCCGATTAAAAGTAGTGTGTGAACTCTTTTTTTATTGACTAAAAAAAAAAGAGGGAAAACTGGCTTTAAGTGGTTTTAAACTGAACTTTTACGCACCGCTTTTACCCTCTCTGTTGTCCGAGTCTCCAAGTTGAGGTCGAACTAAGAAAACTTTCCTCTATTTGTGCATTAAAAAGAAACAAACACACCAAAAAAGTTAACCACCAGAATGCTTGCTGTTGTCCGTGTGGCCGAAATTTTGTGCGTTAACACAAAAAAAAAAAAATAGTGGCGGCACAGACGCGAACAAATAACAAATGAAATAGATTGGCGAGCCATAAAATGAGATTTGAAACCCCATTCAAATAAGAGCTCGCGACGTCAGTGCACTTATCCGAGAGAGAGAGAGAGAGAGAGAGAGAGAGAGAGAGAGAGGAGGGAGGGAGAAAGAGAGAGAGAGAGAGCGCTGTTTGGTGTGTGGTTTGTATGAGAGGGGTGAGATTTGAGAAATAGGAGGGGCTTCTAAACGACTAGAAATGTCAATCTGAGCAAGGGAGTCCCAATAATCTAAAGCAATCTGTAAGGACCTGACCTTAGTCCATCCAGATCAATAGGGAAGTGAGGGTGGAAAGGAGAAGAAGAGGAAGAAATAAGGGGCGCAACCGGATCGTTTACACTGGCTGTTCCCGAGGAAATATAGACTTCCCTTGCTTGCACCTTTTGTTGCTCACATGCTCACACTGTAAAAGTGGATATCGAGGCAATTCCCTTGCTTTGTGAGACTGCAGCAGACTTTTTCCCCCTTTTCCTACCGCCATGTCTTTCCCTCAGCTGGGATATCAGTACATCCGACCGATATACCCGCCGGAGCGCCAGGGGATCGCCAGCAATGCCCGAGCCGGGACAGAGCTCAGTCCGTCCGGCGCACTTTCCAACGTCCTCTCCACTATGTATGGATCTCCTTTCGCCGCAGCAGCGCAGGGCTATGGAGCGTTTCTCCCCTACTCTAACGATATATCAATTTTCAATCAATTGGTGAGTCGCACTTTTTTGTCTCCTAACTTGTTCTTAACTTTTCCCCTCTCTCTCTCCCTCTCTCTCTCTCTCTCACTAAAGAAATAAAGCGCACATGCCTGTAGGAGAACTTTATTGGCACAATTTACGCACCAACTTTCAGGGCGCCGTGGTGAACTTCGTAGTTGTGAAATTTAGTTAAAAGTGGTTAAAAAGTGACTTATTAACACACCGAGCTTTAGGCTTATTGTTGGTACGTAATTTCAAGAGACTGACAGCAACGTGTTAATAAAATGATGCAACGTGCTGTGGGAGGTTTACAGGTATGGGCTAAATGGAGAATATTGCGTAAAAGTGAATGATTGTTCCCTTAAAAGTTGCTTAAATGAATTTAAAAGGGTTACATTTTTCATTCAGCTGTGAGGTTTAGAGGATGATTTAGAGCTGTGACAAAAACACTTCAACATTTTTTTTGTTTGTTTACACCTTTAAAAGAATCTCTCTGCTGTTTTATTTCTGTAAATCCACACGTCAGACTGTGGGGTATTATTATATTTTTCCAAAAGAGGAACTCCACATAAAGTATTTGAAGGTTTCACTTTGTTAAATCTAATAAATCCCTCTGACTCTCTGACTCTTTGTCTTTGCAGGGTGCTCAGTATGAACTGAAAGACAGTCCCGGTGTCCAGCACCCAGGGTTTGCCCACCATCACCCTGCTTTTTACCCATATGGCCAATATCAGTTCGGTGACCCGTCCAGACCCAAAAACGCCACCAGGGAGAGCACCAGCACCCTGAAGGCCTGGCTCAGCGAGCACCGCAAGAACCCCTACCCAACCAAGGGCGAGAAGATCATGCTGGCCATCATCACCAAAATGACGCTCACCCAGGTGTCCACCTGGTTCGCCAACGCCAGGAGGAGGCTAAAGAAGGAGAACAAGATGACCTGGGCCCCTCGGAACCGCACCGACGAAGAGGGGAATGTTTACACCAGCGATCACGAGGGGGAGGAGGGGGACAAGAGGGAGGACGAGGAGGAGATCGACTTGGAGAACATCGACACGGAAAATATTGAGAACAAGGACGACTTGGACGACCAGGACGACCTGCATTCAGATATTAAACTCGACGGGAGGAGTGACTCTGAGATTTCTGACGGCTATGAGGATTTACAAGGGCCCGACCAGAGGTTTCTAAAGGCTGTGGGGAAGGAGGGCAAAGAGAGAGCAGAGCACTTCCACAGTCACCACCACCACCACCACCACCACCACTCTCCTTTGGACATCAAAGCGTCCCAGCCAAACGGGGAGCAGCTCAAACTGAACCCGGTGTCCGTGAGCTCGCCGCCCTCAGAGAACAACCCTGCCCCAGCCCAGAAGCCAAAGATCTGGTCTTTGGCAGAGACAGCCACGGCCCCTGACAATCCGCGCAAATCGCCGCAAATGAACGGCAGCAACTCGGCAGGGCCCGCCGCCCAGACCATAATCGCTCCTCACAGACTCATCTCTTCGTGTCCCGTTGGGAAAATCCAGAACTGGACGAACCGAGCCTTTTCGGCGCACCAGCTGGCTTTACTGAACTCTAATCATTATCTGGGACTGGCGAACCAGGCCACCGCCACCGGCCTGGCCCTCTACAGCAGCAGGCAAACGGAGGACAAGAGTCATAGTTCAGAGACTCCAGTCACAGGTACATGTCCCCGACACTGAGACGCGCATGTATAAATAACTACAAAAACAACAACAAAAAAACAAAAAAAAAAAAAAACAAAGACACTAGTCCATTGCCCGTCATTCATTTCTTTTATTTTAGAGCCTCCTTTTGCCTTCTCTGCCTGTTCATGGATTTGTTTTTCTCTCTCTCTCTCTCTTGAGGCCACACAGATGAACAGTGTTACCATGTTATAGCTGACAGGATCCAGTGTGTGTGATGTGTGTGTGTGTGTGCTTTGGAAAAAAAAAAAAAAAAGTCCAGGAGGATTCTAAAAAAAAAAATCCCATTAGAGAGCTTTAAAAAAATAAATCAAATGTTAAATTGGGTGAAAACAGTTCCTAAATTCCCTCCTGTTCCATCCATATTATATTAAGGTCCATATGTTTGCATTTAATGGTTTACATGAAGCCCTAAAAAAAGCTCCCAAAACTAAATTCACTGAAACCCCAGGATGAGCTCTGATCATTGGGAAGTTCAATTAACGCATTTTAATTTTCTTTGCCGCAGTTTCTGAGAGATCTAGTGCCTTGGATGCAGAGAAGAAAGAAAAGAGAAAAAAAAAGTTGTTAAAAAACAGCCACTTCAAAGACAGTGAGGCTGTCAGTTAATGACATTTGGGAATTTTTTCATTTTGATGCCATATCACATTTTCTTTTTTTTTTTTTTTAAAACGCCATATTTACCCAAAATTAGCTTTGATTCCAAGATTGATTTTTCATCCCTGCGTGTGTGTGCGCTTGTGTTATTTCGTCAAGGCCTATGTTACTTGTTTTTGGTCATGCAAATGAGCTCAATGCAAATTCACTTCAGGCTCGGTTTTTTTTTTTTTATTATTTGAAAGGCAATTGTCACTTTTATATCACTTTGTGTTTTTGCTCTTCACGAGGCTATTATTAGTGTTTTTTTTTTCTCCCCTCCCAACTCTTTTTTTTATTTTTTCTTTCACCTCTGTGTATTTTTTTCAGGCCTCAGAACCAACTAGAAGCAGCGCTGGTTCTTTCGGGCTCTCTTCTCTTCTCCATAACACCCTCTCACCCATTTTTTTTATTTGTTTTTTCTTTTAATTTGAATATGGAATGTAAAATAAGAATAATACATCTCTGTATACTTACATTGTAAGCATGTCCTGTGTAAAACTGCTAATGTAATAATGTATGAACCTGTAGTCTGTGAGTTTTTTTCCTTTTCCTTTTCTTTTCTTTTTGTAAGTTCTGTGAGGATTTGATGTTCAAATGTTTTGTATATAAAGTTAAGAATATGTACATACTTGTGAACCAAATTGTACAAGAAAGTCTATATTTTGGCTAATAAATGAACTGCTGCAACTTTAAAAAAAAAAAAAACAAAATGCTGTTGCTTTCTGGCCGAGGTGTTCTTTGACAGCTGCTTCTGATGGTGGCTGTTGTGTAGCTTCAAGTGCATTGCTTTGCTCTTTTCTTGTTGTTGTGTGAGTGCGCGTTAGTGGACAGCCTGGGGCGCAGACTTCATCCTCCGTGGCAGTGATAAGTAAATATTCGAGAGGGGGATTTATCACACTTTTTTTTTTATATAGTGGAGGGACTTAAGGCTAATTAGCCAGTATTGCGGCATACATTTGGATATTAATGTTGTGGGATTATCCACACAGAGGCGGCCGCATTAAAAAGAATCATTCTTCCATTAATTTCTTTCTCGTCTGAAATTATGGTCTTTATAGAGACTTTTTTTTTTTTTCTAGTAATGAATGAGCTGCTCGAGCATCGTTGCTGCTTGGTCAGAATGCTTGATCCAGAAGATGGATTTTTTTTCTCTTTCTTTCTTTGCAGTGCAACTCCCACATCTCATCATTGCTCAATTTGTAATGCTTTTGCATATATCACACATTTCCCCTCAACTAACGCCGCTGCTGTAATTGTAATATATGGTGGCTGTATAGCTAATAATAACATCATTTATTTTGTTTGCCGGTGATGTGATCATTTGCATGTGTGAGCCCCTTATCAGAGGAAGTTTATGTAAACTTAGTGTTGGAGCTCCCTCTACAGTTACTCGCAGTCGGCCATGTCTTCACACACACACACACACTCACAGAGACGTTCTGCTCATGGAGAGTTGTTGTTTTTTTTGTGTGTCCATTTTTAATTTATCCATCAGTTGTGATATAAAATTCGATAGCAGTATTTTGCACGTAAAAATCTGTCACAAGATGATGCCTTTTTAGCGTGTTTTCGAGCCTTTGTGTGCTTGTTTTATCCTGTTCAAACGCTGTCAAAAGTGTGCTGGGGTTTGTTTTTAATGCTTCTTCTTCAAAAAAAAAAAAGAAAGAAAGAAAAGAAAAGAAGACAGCGTGGATTTTAAAAAGAGAAATTTCAATTTTGGCTCAAACGTTTAAAAATTATTTAGAGGCATTTTTAGTTGAGGTCACGAGCAGCTTCTCATTTCTCATCAATATGATCCAAATATACACCAAAAGGCACAATAAAGCCAAACTGGTAACGTTTAATAAATAGATCTAATTTATTGCCAAAAGCTTAAGTGTTAAATAATAATAATTTAAAAAAAACAACATCATGCTTGTCATATTTAACTTTGAGGCTTGCAGGACTTCTCCATTACGCTTGAAAGCGCGTTCAGTTGTTTCACTGGTTTTGTTTGTAAAAGCAGATGAGCTGAAATGAAGGATTGGAAAATTAGAGGTGAAGGGAGGAAGAAAGAAAGGGAAGGAATCACTAATGGGGAAAAAAAGCCGTCAATATTCTTATTATTCAAATGACAAAAAAAAAAAAAGTCTAAGACATGAAAGTAATCTTCTTTGATTTTTCTAGCTTTACATCTTATTTATAAACTGTCAAAATGTAGTAATGTCGATTTCTGGGAGACAAACTTTGATGGGCAAACTACACTATAATGATTTTTATTGCAAGTGTTTGTTCATTATTTGTTATTTTCCTTTTTTGTTTTTTATATAAATAATTTCATAGTTAAAATTTCAAAGCACTCGGATTAACGATTGCGCGTAAATGGCGCACGGAGACGCAGCGTCTGGCGCATTCCTCGACTGGGCTCAGATGGTCAGGAGGACAATATCGTTTAGTGTGCGCCATTCAGGGCAGCGCAGGCACATAGAAAAGCGCTGATTCGCTCGGGCCGTATCCTCTCAAGGTTTAAGGATGTGCTTTAAACAAACCCCAACTCGGCCGAGGGAGAGACTCCGGAGCCCTGTTTTTTTTTTGTGGAGCTCCTCTCACCATGTTGCCTTCCTGTCTAATCAATTATCTTCCTTGAGAGCCCCCATCTAACCGCGCGATGCATATTCATAAGTGGCATCAACCAGCTGATTGATGTAATAGTTGTTTTCTTTTTACTGTCCTTTTTTTTTTTTTTGGAACATGCTTGCCCACTTCTTTTTCCTAACCAGCATTGTATCCTAATTATATAACACCAGCTCATATGGAATGCTGCAAAAAAAAAAAATCTCCCAACAACAAAAAAACAAAACATTATTTAAATAGTCTTGCAAAAAAAAACTTCAATGTCATTGTAAATAAATTGATGAAAGCAAGCCTGGATCACATGGAGCATAAATTAATGTTAAACAGATTTATGTCAGTGCACAATAAATAAAAATATGTATAAATAAATGATGGACTGTGAGGGCAGCCTGAACCTTATCATAAATAAGGATGCTTATTTCCTCACAGTTCACAGGATGTTTGCTCCTGAGGGCCCCCCCACACCCCCCCACACCACCAAACAACAAGCCCCCCCCCCCTCTCTTGATCACGAGGATTTCAGCTGAAACGCTTACTGAAGGGCCAGTGATCATGTCTAGAGTTCAGGGCCTCTCCTCTGATCAGTGCATGAAATTAGGGATTAAAATGCCTCAGCAGAAACAAAGTAATCATGCCTGCTTATGTCGCCATACGTGTCCAACCTGCTCCCGGTTACAAAGAGCAAATGGAATGCATTAGCCAACATTTTGTTCGGAGCTACACGGGGACCATTTCCAGTGGGGCATGGTGTGTCACTCGTTTCCCTGCACGTTAAGTGGATGTTCTCTCGGCTAATGAGCAATAATCAACACTGACTCCTCTTCTTATTTCTCAGGTCCACGCTGTGTTAAATGCTCCAGAGTGCGAGGGGCACGCTGTAGCAATGCGGCACTCAAAGCATAGGATCATCTACTCAACAAGAAGAAAGTTAAGACAGCATTAAAAAAAGTCGGGGCAATATGTGATATCATGGATTATCTTCCAAATCAAAGGTCAAAGATTAGAGGGTGTTATTTGTCCCTTGAGGCAAATTTGTGATATTGGACTATATAAATAAAACTGACTCGACTTCAAATTCAGATTTACCACATTATAAAGCAATAGATTCTCAATTATGCTCTCTGTCTTGTAATTATTTTCTAATTAATTGATAGTTCTGCGGTATTACGAGTGTGGGAAACGCGGATGCATTTGACACAGTGGAAATAAATTGTACTTCATTTCCCATCTAATCACATTGCTTATATTGTCCCGAGCACAGTTGACTGCTGTTGGCTCTTTTTTTTTTTTTTTTTTTTGCCCCCTCAATACTCCGAGACAGGACTACATACAGCTACATGGGCGGAAAAAGTAATGCACTGTTAAACAGCCATTTAGAAGGAGCAGGGGGGGAAAAAAATCTGAGAAAGATGGAATCATTAAAAGGAAATCTAATCTGTCTTTCGAAGCGTTCATTGATCCGGGAGGAAGGTGGACGGCGGTGTACCGGGCGGTCTGAAAGGCTCCGGCCGATGGAGCCATCAGAAGGGCCTGCGTGTGAATGGGGAGAAACCGTGGAGTAAATAAACACTAGAGCAGCCCATTGGAGGGGGCCAGAGGTGCCCTGTGAAAGAGGAGGCCGCTGCAAATAAAGAGGGTCACTCTTGTGTTTTCACCTCATCCACCCCTTCTGTCATTGTAGCCCCACCACCACCACCACCAGTGCCACCCCCTCCTGCCCCCGGCCCGGACCGCTCTGCCACACCCCCCCTCCCCTCCTGCCACCGAGACAGACAAATGTCACCTCCTTTGTGGACCTAGTCAGGCTTAGAAGCGGCCCACTCTCTTTGTGCGGCGGACTAATCCTTTTATGAGCCACTGTCGACTGCGCCCCCACCCGGCGCTTGGCCGGGCCGAGAAGAGGGGCTGCCCTTTTGCAGGCGCTGGGCCTGTGTGTTAGCTGACCGCAGGAGGAGCTGGGATCTGCTCTCAGGAACACATGTCCCGCACACACCACATACCTTCATACACGGGGCCTACGGGCCGCGGCACTCCACGGCAACTTGTTACAGCACCTCCGGAGCTGAAAGGAGAGAAGGTGGAGAGCTCGGTTTTAGCCCCCTTTCCAATGATATGCAACTTCTGTGTCCTCCTGCATGTTTTATGGCGCATTCATTATTGAGAATGTAAGTGAAAGTGCACCGGCAACATGTTAAAGAATAGCCAGGGAGCAGGAGAGAGCGGGGTTGTTGTGTTTCCCTGGGCTGAGCAAAGGACAAAAGGCCCAGAAGGAGTGACATTCTCTGAGGCCGAAGCGGGAGAGAGGGAGGGCACTGATTTCATGCCTTTTGTTGATGGAGGTTAGAGAGAGGAATTCTTTCACTGAATCCGAAAGGCAACAAGTGGGGAAGGGGGCGACAGGGCGACAGGCCAG